CTCTGTATGCTCAGCCACAGGCGTTCCTAGTATCTGTTGTTGAAGTCTAGGCTCCCTGATTCCACCATCTGTGTCATTTCCTTGGTCTCTTGATGATTTTCTACAGTGAGGTGAATTGTGTCTTTCTCCTGTTTTGTGTTGTAGCCAGGCATTATAGGTAGGAGGCCAGTCCTGTGGGCATTTTACGCTGATTAGGTGCCAAATACTTCGTGTTCTTTACTAATGTTGGGCTTTTTCCTTTGTCCATGCAGTTAAAATTATTGTTGGAATGTGAATTGATGGCTTTGGGGGATCTTTTGAATCTTTGTTAGTTGGTATGAGAAGAAATTTAGTCGTGGGTAATCTTGACCCACTGCCTGAGCGCCGGCTGCTACTCCAGCACTCTCTTCAAGGCCCTTGCGACTAGGCAGGACTTTTCAACTCATGCCTGCTGAGACTCAGATTCTTTCACCGCCCAGAGTGACCAGAAGCTTTTTCTGAGGCCTGGTCCTTGTCTGGCGGTGGCCTTCCCACGCCCGGCAGTTTCGTCTCATTCAATGCTCTGATCTCTCCTTGGACGGGGGAACTTCCCACGTCAGATCGACCAGAGCCTCTCCTTCCCCTCTCTCCACCCTCGTCCCCAGTCCTGGCTTCGTGTGTCCTATATACTTGCCATGTGAGGTCCAGCAGACTCTCCCGAAAGTTCTCCACGCTCGGAGAACACATGCGCTCTGCTTGATTTCCCTCTCCGCTGCTCTCAGGAAGCGGGCACCTGAGAGGCTAAGATGGCTCATGCCTGTAATCCCAGCACTTTGGGAGGCCGAGGCGGGTGGATCATGTGAGGAGATCCAGACCATCCTGGCTAACACACTCTGAAACCCTGTCTCTACTGAAAATACAAAAACAATGAGCCGGGCGTGGTGGCGGCGCCTGTAGTCCCAGCTGCTCGGGAGGCTGAGTCAGGAGAATGGTGTGAACCCGGGAGTTGGGAGTTTGCAGTGAGCTGAGATCGCACCACTGCACTCCAGCCTGGGCGACAGAGCGAGACTCCATCTCAAAAAATAAATAAATAAAATAAAAAGGAACAGCGTACATTTCAATGGCTGCAAAAATTCTTGTGAGATGAAATGAAAGACAACCCCAGCCACCCTCCTACGAAACAGGCATCGGGCTGCCTTAAAGTTACCTCCATTTTTCCTCCTGAGTGCGTTCCCGGGAATCTGTCTTCTCGCTGCGCCTGCAGGGCCTGCTCTGTTCCTGGGTTGGCGGAACACTGGTACTCAGTCTCCGCTATCGGAACCTAGGAGAGTCAGGGGGAGCCGGAGTGAGGAAACGTGTGTGCTTCTCTCAGCTTCTGGAGGTCTCTGAAGCCAGTGCAGATCGACCATGTTTAAATATCCTAAATGTGATTGGGTTAGACCCACCCAACCTTGAGACTTTGGATTAACTAAAGATAAACTAATTTAGTACTTTAATCACATCTGCAAAATCCCTTCATCCAGACTAGAATATGATTGAATAACTGCGACAGGGAGATTGGAGATCAGCTCGGCAGGGGTTCTGAGGGTCTCTGAGCCCAGCATCTTCAAAGGCAAAGGGACGGGTTGTTACATTCCCACAGATCACCCCTTCTCCCTGAGCTGGCGCTGATGGTCAGCGACGTCCTTAGGGTTTGGCCTCTGAGGATTAACTGTGATGTGAGGATTCAGGGAAGAGACTGGGCTTCAGCTGGATGAGGGTGAATGGATGGTCACGGATGGCAGTTATGGATGTGGGACCCTCTCTGAGAAGCTTAGATTGAAAAGGAGTTTAGGGTAGGGAGGAGAGAGGCAAACAGAGCTTTCTCCTGACAAGAGGACAGACTTGAGATGTGCATATACAGAAGTGAGGAAGCAGAGAGGGATATTGGAGGGTGGTTAATAGTTTGGGAAAGTAAGTGATGGTGGGGACCGAGAAGGAGGGTGCTGAGTACCCAGCATGGGAGGGAAACAACTCCTAGGTTGGTTTTTGGCTTCAGAATCTCAGATGCAGTCCAGGATTAGGGATGCCCCTCAGAATAAATCTTAACTCTTGGGATTGATTCCACTCTACTCGGCACAATCCTGATTCATGGCTTTTAGCTCATGACAGCATCTGAGAAGACAGGAAAGGGGGCTTTACAGTGATTGGTACTTTATTTCTACCCATGTTTTACTTTTAGAGGCAGGGTCTTGCTCTGCTGCCCAGTCTGAGGTGCAGTGGCATGATCATAGCTCACTGCAGCCTCAAACTCCTGGGCTTAAGTGATCCTACTGCCTCAGTCTCTCAAGTAGCTAGGATTACTACAGGTGCTTGTGCCACCATGCTTGGCTTTTTTTTTTTTTTTTTTTTGTAGCGACGGGGTCTCACTACGTTGCTCAGGCTGATTGCGAACTCTTCATTTCAAGCAATCCTTCTGCCTCGGCCTCCCAAAGTGCTGAGATTGCAGGTGTGAGCCACCATGCTTGGCCTAGTGGTACCCTGTTAAGTCAGAACAAACTCCATGTGTATTGGCTTAAGACTAATCTTTGCTTCTTTCCATGTTGTCTAAAAATACCACATTTTCTTCATTTCCACAGACATTTCAGGCCTCCGTTTCCGGATGCCCATATGTCCAGGAAACTGTTCTCTGTGCTTCCCATTTTGGGCCTGTCCAATACACCCCCACTCTGCCTCAGGGACCATCTGAGACAAAAATCTGACCAGTTATTCCTTCCTCTCCACCAAATGTTAATGAACATCGTCTTCTTCCCCAGGCTTGAGCCTTCTGTCTTGTTGGAGGCAAATAGAAACTTTAGGCATCTCAGCTCTACATCTAGCAGGAGCCTCCACTCAGCGTATTCACCCCCAGCATCACCTCCCATTCAACTCATCTTCAGGGTTTCTGCCTTGGTATAAATAGCAACTGCATCCAGGCTGTTTCAAAAACAGAAGTGCAGAAATAATTCCTGAATTATTTATTCCCAATGACAGCTTCTTCTCAATCAGAAATGATTGATAGCCGATTTTCATTCCTTCTTTTTTTTTTTTTTTCTGATAGAGTCTCACTCTCTCACCCAAGCTGGAGTACAGTGGTGCAATCTCAGCTCACTGCAACCTCTGCCTCCTGGCTTCAAGCAATTCTCCTGCCTCAGCCGCCCAAGTAGCTGGGATCACAGTCGTGTGCCTCCACACCGGGCTTCTCTTGTATTTCTAGTAGAGAAGGGCTTCACCACGTTGGCCAGGCTGGTCTTGAACTCCTGGCCTCAGGTAATCCACCCACCTTGGCCTCCCAAAATGCTGGAATTACAGGCATGAGCCATCGCAACCGGCCTGATACCCTATTTTCTAAATAAGTACCATTAACTGACTTTTTATTCATGCTGAAATTAAAATAGTACAGGCATCAAGGTTCCTTCCACGGGCCACAGCTGTTGCATTCTAATGGGGATCCTGCTTATCTTGTCCTCGGTATGCACCCAAGCCTGTTTCTGTGACTTTTCGGGGCAGACATTCTTCATTCCATGGCCGTGGGGCAGCTTCAGATCAAGCCGATTGTCTCTGTTTGTCCGGGCTCCAGGCTTCTCCCATTTCCTGAACACACTGGGCACTGCGTGGCCCTGCGGCATCTGCTGCTTCTGCTTGTTGCTCTGCTCCCATCACCAGTCACCCAGCAGGCCCGCTCCTCCTGCAGGCCCCCGTCGCCCTGGGCATGGAGGCCTTCTCCAACCCTGGCACTCCTCACAGGCGCTGCCTCACCATGCTGTCCTCAACTTGGACACAGTACATTTCGACACAACTCCCTGGTCAAGTCTAGCTCTCCCACTGGCCTATGCATTCAGGGAAATTGTGGATCGTGTGTACAGGTGAATCCCGTGAAAGGACAGCTTCCCAGCCCTGACTCTACGATGGAATCCGCTGGAAGGCTTTCTCAAAGGCCAATTCCAGTCGTACAACTTCAGTTATCCTGGGCTGGTCACTGTGTGGTGAAAAGTCCTCTGGTGGTTCTAACACTAGTCAAGCATGAGCTCTTTGCCTTAAACGAGTGTCATGGGCTTTGCCATGAACTACACTGAGTCCAGGGGCCACCTTGGTCCTGCCCCACCTCACTGGGCCCCTGGGAGGTGGGAGATTAGATTAGAACTGCCCAGGCTGCAGGCTAGCACTCCAAAGAGAGGGTGTGACCACCCTGAGAGTCCCTTCTCAGAGATTCCAGTGTGGCCATCCAGGGTGATCCTGAGCACCAGGAGCTCAGAGGGTCCCAGGTGGGTCTGATGCACAATCCGGGCTGAGAGGCTGAGCTTGAAGAGGCTCCGAAGGCCAGGGACCGTTTTATTTCCGACGACAGATGAAGTGCCACGGCGGTTCTGGGGCCTAGGGCAGGAGATTGGGGCCTGACTTAGGAAAGCCTTCTTGGGCTTTGAGATGTATTAGACAGGAGGGCGTGAATTTAAAAGAAATGGTTTTCACACATTTTCAGGGCTGCTTGTCTTTTCAAGGGTGAGGAAACATGGGTGTTCAGTTTTTTGTTTTTTTGTTTTTTTTTTTTTTTTTTTTTTGAGACAGAATCTTGCTCTGTCACCCAGGCTGGAGTGCAGTGGCGCGATCACTGCAAGCTCCGCCTTCCAGGTTCACACCATTCTCCTACCTCAGCCTCCCAAGTAACTGGGACTGCAGGTGCCCACCATCACGCCTGGCTAATTTTTTTGTATTTTTTTTAGTAGAGACGGGGTTTCATAGCCAGATAGTCTCGATCTCCTGACCTCATGATCCACCTGCCTCGGCCTCCCAAAGTGCTGGGATTACAGGCGTGAGCCACCGTGCCCGGCCAGGTGTTCAGTTTTAAACATTTGGGAAAATCATCTAATTTAGGGGATACTGTTTCAATGTTTCAGTGTAAAAAATTAATATATGATGAATTTTGGCTGGATTTTTGGAAACTAGAAGGGCAACAGGGTAGAATACTGGGGGAGTGACTGAAAGTAACGGAAGTGTAAGGTAATGGGGTGTGTCTGCATGAAGGAAGATCTGCACGGGTCAGACACTGGACAGGCTTCCCTGGATTAATTTTAAAATATATATATATTTTTAATTAGTGTGGTGGTACATGCAGGTAATCCCAGCTACTTGGGAGTCTGAGGTAGGAGACTCTCTTGAACCTGGGAGGTGGAGGTTGCAATGAGACAAGATCACGCCACTGTACTCCAGCCTGGGTGACAGACTGAAACTCCATCTCAAAAAAATATATATATGTTTAAATACATAAATATATCTATTTATATATTATAATACATATATTTATGTATTATATATTTATAGACATGTATTTATTATTAAAAATATATATTTTTTGAGACCGAGTTTCCACTCTTGTTGTCTATGCTGGAGTGCGATGGTGTGTTCTCGGCTCACCGGAACCTCCGCCTCCTGGGTTCAACCTCAGCCTCCCGAGTAGCAGGGATTACAGGCATGCACCACCATGCCCAGCTAATTTTGTATTTTTAGTAGAGACGGGGTTTCTCCATGTTGGTCAGGCTGGTCTCGAACTCCCAACCTCAGGTGATCCGCCCACCTCGGCCTCCCAAAGTCCTGAGAATACAGGCATGAGCCACTGCACCTGGCCAAATATTTTTTAAACTAATAAAAATTGCAAAGAACCTCCTTGGATTAATAATAATTTTTTAAAAAAAGAAAAAAAAAGAAAGAAAAGAAACAGGACAGGGTGAGCCAGTAGTAGTTTCTGATGTACCAAGGAAGTTTTTTATTTGCAAATCAAAATGGAGTCTTTTCAGGTTCCCTAATGACAAAGGGAAATTGATCTAAGAGAGATTAAATGTCATGCAACAAGGGAGTTTGAAAGAAATGTTGGGAGAGAATACATGGCAATCTTTCTTTCTTTTCTTTCTCTCTCTCTCTCTTTCTTTTTTTTTTTTTTTTTTTTTTTTTTGACATGGAATCTCCCTCTGTTGCCCAGGCTGGAGTGCAGTGGAATGATCTCAGCTCACTGCAACCTCCGCCTCCTGGATTCAGGCGATTTTTCGACCTCAGCCTCCCAAGTAACTGGGACTACAGGCACACGCCACCACACCCGGCTAATTTTTGTAGTTTTAGTAGAGATGGGCTTTCACCATATTGGCCAGGCTGGTCTTGAACTCCTGACCTCATGATCCGTCTGCCTCAGCCTCCCAAAGGGCTGGGAATACAGGTCTGAGCCACCACACCCAGGAAATTTTTCTTTGTTTTCAAGACGGAGTCTCTCTCTGTTGCTCAGACTGGAGTGCAGTGGCGCCATCTCGGTTCACTGCAACTTCCGCCTCCCGGTTTCAAGCGATTCTTCTGCCTCAGCCTCCCGAGTAGCTGGGATAACAGGTGCCTGCGACCACACCCAGCTAATTTTTGTATTTTTTAGTAGAGATGGGGTTTCACCATGTTGGCCAGGCTGGTCTTGACCTCTGACTTCGTGATCTGCCCGCCTCAGCCTCCCAAAGTGCTGGGATTCCAGACACGAGCCACTGTGCCCGGCCCATGTAAATTTTCACCTAAATGGTGTCAAGAGGGTCTGAAGTAGTAGCTGAGAAGTCGGAGAAGAGAAGTCATGGAGACAAACACACAGGGTGATTCCACTGTGCAGACAGAGCCCAGCCTTCCCCATGCCAAAGACGCAAGAGAGAGCACCTGAGAGAACAGATTCCATGAGGACATCATGTTCTTCTCTGGATCTCAGCCTTGAGGGAGAGGCCGTGTCCACTCAGAACAGGAGAGGCCAGGACAGGTCCTCAGGGCTGCTGCTTTGTCCACCCGTTGCTGAGGAGTAGCAGGAGTGAGGCCTGGGCACGCTCGCATGGCAAGCTCTGTGGGCAGGTGTGCAGAGGGCGTCCACAGGCAAGGTCCCGTGTCAGGGTGCTTCACCTGCCCCACAGCGTGATGCACTGGGCTTACAGAAGTCACTCCCTTCACAAGCGTGAGCTGGAACACAGGAGAGAAAACCCTGAGGAGACTTGGTCCTCCATTCTAGCCCAGGATTCTTTCTAGGGCCCCTCTCTAGGGCAAAGCCTGCGATTTTCACGTCTAATGGTCCCGTATATACCTTATAAAGGGAGTGGATTTCACCATGGTTTAGAGCTGCTTCTATTTTCAACATTATGAGAGAAGAGAGATTGATTAATGGGTCCTAATATACAGTTCGATAAAGAAATAAGACCTAGTGTTTGATACATCAGTAGGGTGACCATAGTTTACAATAATCTATTGTATATTTCAAAATAGCTAGGAGAGAGTAATTTGACAGTCTCGACCATAAAGAAAAGACAAATATTTGGCTGGGCACAGTGGCTCATGCCTGTAATTCCAGCACTTTGGGAGGCCAAGGCAGGTGGATCATGAGGTCAAGAGATGGCGACCATCCTGGCCAATATGGTGAAACCCCATCTCTACTAAAAATACAAAAATTAGTTGGGCGTGGTGGTGTGCACCTGTAGTCCCAGCTACTCGGGAGGCTGAGGCAGGAGAATCACTTGAACCTGGGAGGCGGAGGTTGCTGTGAGCTGAGGTTGCGCCACTGCACTCCAACCTGGGTGACAGAGCAAAACTCTGTCTCAAAAAAAAAAAAAGACAAATATTTAAGGTGATTGATGATATCCCAAATATACTGATCTAATTTTTACCAATTACATGAATGTAGTAAATTATCACATATATCCCCCCAAAAAAATTTAAAAGAAAATCACCAATTGTTTCAATACCAATCCCAAATAATTCACACAGCCACAGTTTTGGAATTCAAGGGGATCTGGAAGGAATGAAGTCATTGGAGAAAAGTAATTGGGAATTAAGTGTGTCACATCTGAATGCTTGTGTGCCCCAACATTCATGTGTTGAAACCCCACAGCCTAATGTGATGGTGTGAGGGCATGAGGCCCTCGGGAGGTGATTAAGACTAGCTGAGTCATGAGGGGGAGCCCTCGTGCATAGGATTAGGATCCTTACAGGAGTCCAAAGAGAGCTTGCTTCCCCCTTCACCACCTGAAGAAGGAACTAGAAGGCGCCTTCTGTGAGCCAGAAAGTGGGCCCTCATCAGACACCGAGTCTACCACAGCCTCCTCTTGGACTTCCCAACCTCCACAATGCGAGAAATACCTTTTTGTTTTTATAGCATAGCCAGTTTGTGGAATTACATTGTAGTAGCCCAAATGGACTAAAACAAATGGGTACGTAGTGATATCAGGGTTCCTGGGCAGAAATCATTGTCAACAGAAGAGATTTGGGAAGCAAGTCAGAAATCGTGGATGTCTACAGAAATCTCAGAAGTGTCTGCTGAGCTATGGATGAGAACCAGAAGAGTTGCTTTTGCAGATAAGGAGTCATTGTTTTAGTGACAAAAGAATATAATATTTTAGGGATAACAACAAAGTGTCAGGAAACAGAAGTTGAGAGCAGAGAGAGAACTTACGCACTCTTAACCCGGCTATGGAAGGAGGGGCAGGCACAGGGGATGAGACTGGAGAGTGGAGACAGAGGGGCCACAGGCATGTTTCCAGGCAGTGGATATCGCTGCGTGGGAGCGGAGCACAAGGCCCAAAGGGCAGAAGCCAGCCCCAGTCAGGGAACAGGCCATGACTTGCAGTGGGTG